CCCCCCCCCCCTTTTTTTTTTCCTCTTTTTCTCCCCTCCTCCTTTTTTCTCCTCTCTCTCTCTCTCTCATCTCCTCTCCTCTTTCCCTCTTTTTGTCTCTTTACTCACTTTTTAACGGAAGTGCTTGCAACACATAGTAACTTCTTTGAAGCCCTAAACTGTTGCCGTGGGTGTTAGTCCCGGTTCATTGTTAATGTTTTGCTCTTGAGGCTAGCTTTTCTATCCTTAAAGAGAGCATTTTTAGTGTATACCTGTATGTCATACAAGTGTAAAGTAGAAAGCAAATACGAAAATGTGTGTTGTACTGACCCTCTTAAATTAACACCCCTGGTGTGGTTCAGGTTTTGTAACCTAGATTTCTTATCTAGGACATTCAGGATATTTTCTTTCTTCATCATGAGTAGTTCAGGGGAAAACCGCCCTCACTGGGAGGTGGTTGCCAGTGCTTTATTTCTTGTTTTCATGATAGTACCTGCTTTCCTCCTCTCCCAGCTTGTGTTGCAGGATGAGTTCTGAGGCTGCTCTGCGCCCTGTGCTGGGAAGCCTTGGTCTGTAGGCCTCTGGAAGCAGCGTCGACAGGTGCCCTAGAAGGGATGTGTCTGTGAATTTATGAATTGCACTTAAGTGTGAAAACCCCTTCAGCCATATGTTTATGCTTTCAGAATTTATACTTATTTTGAGGGGTGTGGTCCCTCCACAAGGAGCTATATGGTGAAGACATGGGGCAATGGGAACAAGCTGCATCAAGAGAGGTTCAATCTTGACATAAGAAAGACATTTTTTATAGTCATAATGACCATTCATTGGGACAAGCTCCTCAGGGATGTGGTAGAGTCCCCATTGCTGGAGATTTTCAAGATGGTGTTTGGGCTAGATCATCTCAGCTATGCTCTTTTTATCATGGAAGTTTGAAGCGGGTGATCTTTCAGGGTCCCTTTGAACCTGGGCAATCCTGTGATTCTACAGGCTTTTATTTCTGCCTGAAAATACAGCTTATTGCAAGGGATTGTTTTTGTGAGATGTAAAAATACTGCCTAGCAATATATTCTAAAGCTCTCCTTTATGAGCATGTGACTTTTCAACTTGTTTTCTGAGGATAGAATTAGTAAGAGGTGCAGCTAAGTGCAGAAATACTAAAATCTATCAGTTTTCCTCTCTGATTTTCTTACGTACAGAGTTAGTGTTCCCATTCTATTTTATCTTTCTTATCCTTTTTGTGCTTTACAGACTGTATTGGTAAAATGCAGGAATACTCTGTGTAAGAGATGACTTGTTTTTTGTGATCTGCTGTGTAAGAGGCAGTTCTTGTACTCTTCGTAGCTTTGCTTGTGGTTGTGCTACTGATAATGTTGTTTTTTGTTTTTGTTTTTGTTTTTTTTCCCCTTTTGAAGTATGTTTTATGCTATTTATCTGAGCACAGGAAAGATTCAGAATACGCTAAAGGATTTTTCTGAATGAAGATGTATTGATTCAATATTTACTTAATGACACCATGAAAATGAACTAGGAATTTCAGTCAAAGTCTGCTTCAATTTGATGTTCAGACATAGTGGCGTAACTCTTCTATAGCCTAAAATTAATTTGTGTATCATGGCTTCAGACTAAACCATTTACAGATCAAATGGAGCTGTGAAGTTATCCAGAGTGACATGCAAGATGAAAAGGAGACTGAACTGGGCAGAACAATGAATAATGTTACTTAAATTTAAATTATTTAAATCTGCATGTCAAAAACATTTATTCTGTAATCTAAACTAGGATCTTTTTTAGCTAATTGGGATTGAGAAATGTTACCTGGTAGAATTAATTTTTCACTAATTAATGGCCACTGGTGATTGGCCCTCTTCAGATAATAAATGGCTTGTGTGTTTCTGTTTCTTATTAATCTGCTGTAAAATTATGCAAGAAGCTTTTAAATGTACAAAAAGTTGAGTAAATTAGTGAGGTCTTGACTGTGGCTGAGACTTAATATGTATCAATTTTTGCCTTTTGTTTGTAGTAGCATTTTTGTTTTGGGGTCAGATATTAAAATTGGATGCTTTTGTTTGTAGCTGAAGAAGAGTCAGTTCTTTCCATTGATGTTGATGGATCCCAGAGATTTAAATTTTTATATCTATGGTTAGTTCTTGTCTTCCAAGATATTGTGCAGTTACTAAGGTTGTTAAGTATCCCGTGGTGTTATTATTTGTGCAGGAACAAGAAGCAGACAAATATTATTAGGGCTGATGATGATGGGCAGAAGCTTCATTGCTTCAATTACTTGGATGTTGGCTGGAAAAAGTGTTAAGTACATGCACCTGTGATAAGAACTCAGTCATAAGTAAGATCACCCTCTGGAGAAGCAAATTCTGGTTGTTGCCTGTGATATTGCTTGTTGTCCTCCATTTCTCACTGCAATGGTAGGATTCCACCTACCTGGTAAGGGCTTGTTCTGCAGATATTGGGGAACCCTATTTTTCTTTGAGCTTGTATGCGTTTAAATTTGCTAATCCTTCTCCACCCTGTACTTTTGTATTATAGTGTTATACACACCCCCCAGCCCCCCAATTTGTTCCATTTCCCTATTGTTATAATTCTTATTCCAACATCCCTACAGGTCTCCTGGCATTCTTTCCTGTTATATCACTTTCTCTGCTGCTGCAAATCCAGATTCCACATCCAGGTCCTCCTCTTCCTCAGTTTTTCTTACCTTTGGAGATATTTTTGCTTGAATATCCCTTGCTTCCCACCATTTACTTTATGTGCCTTCCTCGCTAACCTCATCTAATGCTTGCTTTCTTATCTCTCCTTCCTGCTTGCTTTTTGCAGTCAATATGCTCTGAGAAGATCATGGCTGTATATCTTGTCTTTATCATACTCCCTCCAGCTCTTGCCTTTTTGCAGAGGTAGTATCATACGAAGAAATTCAGGTCTTTGTTTCTCTTTCATGCTTCTTTGCTGCTAATTAGACAGAATCAGCTCATTCTTATTTGTCCTTCCTCTTTGAGATGTTTTCAGCCCATTTTTCCTTTTGTCTCCCATAATATTATAACTTGCTGTCTCCAGCTCCTCTTCCAGCCTTCTGATTTTGATTCTTGCTTCTCTGCCTCTTCCTCTCCTCATTTTTCCAAACATACGCTGCAGGGGTAGACATTTGCATGTTGGTGATGGTTTTTACCCAAGTTTTTCATATTGCCTTACTTATTTTCATTTGACTACAGCCACAGCTTTTAGTGCTCCTAGGCATTTAAAAAACAAAGCCCTAGAACTTTGATACAATTTGGCCTTCCACGTGTATTGCTATCAGGTGTCTGTGTATGAATTCATCCATGGTTACTTTGACTTTGTCTATCATGGCAATACAGAGTTGTAACATGGGCCATTCTAGTCCTGTATTCCTCTGTAGTTGATGCTTGTGAAGAGAGTACAGGAACAGGGCAAATTCAGAGTAGATTTTTTGTCTTGGCTTCCTGCAGCCTGTGGGTTGAATGCACATCATCACTTCTGTTACCTCTTGCTGGGCTTATTTTCAATGAATTAGTCTAATGGTTGCTTTAGCACATCTTGATTTTGACATCCAAAACATTTTGTGGGAATGTGCTCTATATATGTTATATGCAATAACATTCCCTTCAAACAAACAAACCCCGAACCCTCTTGTTGCTAAGTTTAATTTTTTGTCCCTTCTCCCTTGCTTGTAAGAAATTATAATCACTTCTCTCACATCTTTTAGGTTGCCTGCAAGTTTGTGTTCTTTGACATCTCTTTCTTCAGTTATTTCTTTCTTTATACATTCTGTTTGAACAGAATCCTCTCAATATCTTTGATTTATCCTTGAGACTCTTCTCAATCTCTATGTTTTCTCTGAGATGGGGTGACTAGAATGGTGCACACTATTAGAGTTGTATCATTAATTTTGTATCCTGGTGTACTGTTTTGTTCCTTCTTTCGTAAATGACTCATAACGCTCTGTTCGCTTTTGTAACCACCGCTGAGCATTGACTGTAGTTTTGAGAACTCTCCACAATGACTCACCTTTCCTGAGAAAAGATAGTTTAGCATCTGTCATTATATACTTAATGTGGTGTTTTCTCCCCTGTGATTTAACAGTATTTAATTTCACAGGCTGTATCTTACATACACAGTGATATGAGATCCTTGCACAACTTTCCGTAGTAGGATTTCACAACCCAAAGTATTTGTATCGCTGGCATACCTCTTCACCTTATTATCTCCTGCCATTTCCAGATAATTTCTTAGTTTTTACAGTAGTTGACCACTTCGTTTGGAAACAGAAGTTGTACCTGCTGTGTTCAGTTCCATAGAGACCTCCTTCATTGCCATTTTAAGAGCTGGCATCCCATATGTTTTATTGATGATTAAATTTTCCTCTGTCATCTTGTTAAAGAAAGACACTGTATGGGAACCTTTAAGTCCCCATGTATTTAACTGCCTTCCAAATTCTTACTCTCTTATGCTCTTCTTTCACAAGGTGCTTTCAAAACCTTCTACATGAAATGCTATTTGTATGCTGGCCCTCTTGGATAGCTAGGATAGCGTTATCTCATTGCTTCGGTGGGTGGTACTGTTTTATGTCTAGTCAGACTATACGTAGTTTCCTTCTGTTTTTACAGTTCCAAATACAGCACAACTATGATAGAAGTTGTCACTACTGTAAAATAAACAATAAAATTAATCATTGTATTGGGCCCCTCCCCTTTTGTGTCATTTGCACTGTTTTAGTCAAGTATGTTGAATAATCTTGTTATTCTACATTAAAAGATTGTAGGTTTGTGTTATCCAGTTTGATTCAGTACAGTAAGCACCAGAAATTATTTAGGCATGTGATAGTTAACATTTTAAAGACCT